TTGAGTTGACATGGCACAAGGCAGACGTCACTGAGTGCACTTAGGCGATTTTATCACTGTGTGCGGGGAACACAGGTTTGAGGGGCAGGGCCACCAGCAAGGGCTTAGGAGGCAGCGGGGACCCTGTAGGAATCCTACCCCTCCTGTTCTGTGGAAGGGCCTGGGCCACACTGACTTATCTCAGTCCCAGCCTGGGTTCTCCCCTAGGTGACTTGGAGGAGGTGCCTGCCTTCGGGGCTTGTCATGAGGGGATAAAGGAGCTGAGCAGGACACACCCATGAATGTCCACTGTCCACTGTGACCCTGGGACACCCATGAATGTCCACTGTCCACTGTGACCCTGGGCAGGCCCCTTCCCTATAGAGGCCTCATGGCCTCATCTGTAAAATGGGAGGGTGGCTCTGACTGCAGCCTGGAGCCTTTGGGGGTCAGCTGGGGAAGAGGGCAGAGCAGCCTCTGTAGATGGAGATCAAGAGCTGGGCCAGGAGGAAGGAGGTGGCCCAGCTGCCCCTGCCTCGCAGAGCCTCCAGGTGGGGGTCGTGGGGGCATTCCCTGAGGCACCAGGCCCCACCCTCACCGCCACTGCTGGAGGCTGCCTCCTCTGCTTCTGGGCAGCTCTGGGTCCCTTCCACTCTTCCTGTCCTCCTGGGTCTCCTGAGCCACAGTCTTTGCTGACCAGGCGCCTCCTGCTGACTGGAGCCCTGGCCCCTGGGGAACAGGTTCCTCTCTGATATCTCCTTCCTGTCTGTCCAGACCTTTCCCTACCAACTGAGGATGAGCCAGACTTCCAGAAGGAGGCCCTTGGTGAGCAGAGGCATGTGGCCAGGCCACTGGGACCACAGCCATCCTAACTGTAGCAGGACCCGCATCACCTGCAGCCCCAGGGAGCAGCGAAGGTGGGGCGGCTGCGACCTCCTCCAAGAGGCACCTCAAGTTTCTAAGGTACCTCTGTGTTCCTGCGTGTTCTGCTTTGACACCAGCCATCCAGGAGCCCTGACTTGAGCCCCTGCCTGACCCTGGGAGTTGGAGGTGCTGGAGGTGGCTGCCTGCTGCCTTGTGTCTGAGTGGCAGGTGGCCTGATGCCAGGAATAGGGATCCGAAGAAGCTTTTAGACCCTGGGACACCCCGACTCCCTCCAAGCAAGAGCTAGTTCTCAGGGTGTCATCTACAGCCCACGGGGGGCTGTGGGTTCTGCAAGAGGCCTCCTCCCCACTCAGCTCGGAGGGACGGTCTTCCCAGAGCCGCCTGCACAATTTTCACTTAACCAAGAAAGCTGACGTTTCCCCGAGGGTCACAGGAACCCAATGCTGATTACTGAGGCTGACACCCCTGGCACTGAGCCGCGGCTGGGGTGGGACTGTTCACAGCCAACTCCTCACTGTGACTTCGACACCCCAAGCCACCAGAAGCAAGGCCTGAGAGCTCACGGGATTGTAAGGTTCTGTGTATGTCGACAAGTGTCTTTAAACCTGGACTGCCCCCAGGCACAGTGGCGCACGCCTGTGATCCCAGAGACTTGGAGGCTGGGGCCACCCTGGACAACTTAGCCAGACTGTCTTAAAAAATACATATATATGAAGGGCTGAGTACATGACTATACCACAGTGGACCCCAACACCCAGCATATCCACACAACACTAATTAAAAAATAAAATTTAATTTTTATGCTATTTTTTTTTTTAAACTGAGGAAGAGGCCTGTGAAGGCAAAACGTGCCGAGGGCCCATGAAGACATGAGGCAGCCCGCATCCACGGCATATTTTGTCCCACACTCTCGCGGTGACTATGCGGGCGGCCTCCTGTCATCCAAGATGACAGGCCACAGCTCTGCAAGTCGAAGAAGGCAGCGGCATGACCTGCTGTTCCCAGACATTCATCCTGCACGGCTTGAGACGGTTTATCACTGTGCTTGGTTCCTGGAGAGGCCGATGGCAGCTCCCGGCCATCCTGTCCCTTACCCTACCCAGGGTAGGGCATGCCAAGATGAAGTTTGCCCTCTGCCTTCCCGAGACCCAGTACTGGCAAGGGGAGGGCTCCCTAAGGCCAGAACTGGGAAGTGTTGGTGTCGTCTGTCCTGTGTTAGTTGCAGTTTGAAGAAGCTGTCAGTTGAATATTGACGGTGTCCCTTGACACGGTCCCCTGGGAGGGTGTCCCTCACTCCATATCCACCTGAGAGCCGCTGGCCTGGAGGCAGCTGAAACCCACCAGGATGCGTCACTCTTATGATGGCAAACTGCGGGAGTGCCCCATGGGCCCAGCCCTCACCTCTTGGCCCTGGTTTCCCCAAGTACAGAGGGAAGCCCAGCAGCCTGTCCAGCCAGCCTCAGCAGGCAGCTGTCCGCTGGTTGACCGGCGGGCTCCCTGGGGTGTGCTCTAAAGGGGACAGAGAAAGGAGGGGCAGGAGGACTCTGGGCTGGTGGAAAGGGCACTTGGCTCTCACGGGCACCCTGGCTCTCACACTGTCTAGCCTTGGCTCATCTGCGGAACAGGAATCAAAGCCATGTGTCTGGACAGGGGGCGGGGGGTGCAGCTCAGACGCCGAGCTCTTGTCCAGCATGTACAAGGCCCTGGGTTCCAACAAAACAAACAAGCAAACACCAGCACCCACACCAGCTCCCTTCCTGCTCCACCAGACCAGCCGAGACAGTGTGCGAGGCTCTGAAGCCCCCGGGGCTTAGGGGACGAGGCCATTCACTAAGGCCTGGCCGCCTCCGCCCTTTGCACTCACTGTTCACTCGGTCTTTCTTTGCCTTGCTTGGTTTTTATTTTTTGGTACAAGGAATTGACCCCAGGAGTGTTTAATACTGTGTCACATCCCCAGCCCTTTTCAAATGTTTTATTTAGAGACAGGGTCTTGCTCAGTTGCTTAGAGCCTCTCTAAGTTGCTAAGGCTGGCTTTGAACTTGCCATCCTCCTGCCTCAGCCTCCTGAGCTGCTGGGATTACAGGTGTGTGCCACTGTCCCCGGCTTGGTTCTTATTTTATTTTTTGGTACAAAGGATTAAACCCAGGGCACTTTACCGCAGAGCTAGCTACATCTCCTCTCCTATTTATTTATTTATTTATTTTTGAGACAAGGTTTTGCTAAGTTGCTTACAGCCTCCCTAAATTGTTGAGGCTGGCTTTGAACTTGTGATCCTCCTATTTCAGCTTCCTGAGTCACTGGGACTATAGGGATGCGTCAGCACGCCTGGCTGCCTGGGTTCTTAAAAGGCCCTTATAAGTCTTATGGTGTGTGTGTGTGTTCATGTTCTGGTTTGTTCACCCTAAATAAAGTTTTCTCCTCCCCCCTTCCTATAGATCCAGTGTACACATAACTATTTTCAAAACAGAGAACACACATCAGCAGAGATGGGGGTGAAGTACAGAATGAAGCGTTTATCATTTGGATGCTGGGGTTCATAGGAGCCAGTAATTCAGAAACTTCTGAGGCAAGACTAAGTCACTCGGAAAAGGGTTTCTGTTTGGATGACCTACTTAGTATGACCTCCTCTTCCCATCCTCTTTGCTACCTTCAAACACTTTTCATTTTGATCTCCAATCTCTGCTCTTACTCTTTTGCATTTTGTAAAAAAAAAAGAAAAGAAAAAAGAAATTGACAAATATCTCATCTGTGCAATTAAAATGTTATTTCCCATTCAGGCACAGTGACACAAGGCTGTAAACCCAGCAACTCGAGAGGCTGAGGCAGGAGGATTGCAAATTCAAGGCCAGCCTCAGCAACTTAGCAGATCCTATCTCAAAATAAATAAGTAAATAGATGATAGAGTGGCCCTGGGTCCAATCCTTGGTACAAAAAATAAATAAATAAATAAATACATAAAAATAAAGAAAGAAATTATTTTCCTGTACTCTGGCTGTCCCCATGCGGTTCATGGAAGGGCATGACTCAAGACAAGGCAATGACCCAATCTCACCAAGGCCTCACCAGGCTCAGCCAGGGAAGACCAAGGGGCAGATGCTGTAATCACCACCAGAGGAGCGGTAAGACTGGCAGGTTCCCGCCAGAAAGAACCCACGGGAGCTGTTACCACGGGCCAGGTCCCCACTGCTTTGTCAGAGGGAGACTGTGCAAACTGAGGGACATGTCATCAGGGGATCAGAAATCTTTCTAGGACCCTTGGATGAGGACTTATTTGACCAACTGGTGCTGGACTCTTGGAAGCTGCAAGGCCCAAGTCTCAGGATGCCAAATGCCATAGGGACCTTTCCCCGGGCAGGTTTGAGGAGTGGTTTGCTAGACGGCAGCAAGTCAAAGCTGGAATGGGGGAGCCCCCACCTCTAGGGAGCGCTCCCACTCTGCACAGTGCCCAGCTCTGGGGCAGAAGTCGCTGCCACCCGTCCCCCAGCCCTGGAGCCAATCTTGCCCTTAGTTGCTGCCTGGACCTTTGGGAGCGGCTGCCTTTGCTGAACTTACAAAGAGCACAGATTCAGGGCATTTGGGGTGTTTGGTATTGTTTATTTTTTTTTTTTAAACCCACTTGTAGTTTGGGTTCAGCTGAAAAGCAGGACATACAGATGGAGGTGGGCGGGGCGCAGGCAGGTTTCCGCGGCAGCTCTGGCCGGAGGCCCCAGGCCCTGCTCCGCCTGGGGAGGTAGGTCCTGTGGTGGGGCCCCCAGCTGGCTCAGGTGAGGTGGCCAGCCTTCTGGGCTAGTGTCCCGTGTCCCGAGCAGAGCTGTTTTTGCTCTGATCTGCATCTTCAAAGGCCCCGTCAGAGATTTCCCAACAGAGTGCCCAGCAGCTGAGGGACGCCACACCAAGGCCAGGCCAAGCGCGTGTGGGACAAGGAACGCTGGTCGGCTTCTGATGCCAGATAACAGCCTGGGACTGGGCTTCCTCGGGCCACTGTCTGGGGTGGCCCCAGGGGGCGGCTCCTGCTGGCAGCCCGGGCTGTCTGGGCCCCGCCCCTTCAGCTGCCTGGGGCGGGAGCCTCGGTGCAGTCCCTCCCCCTCCGCCCCGCAGAGAAAATAAAATAAAATAAAAATGAGAATAAATACCGACTGCGTCAACATTTACATTTACACAGATGGACAGGACGATCCCCAAACTGTGAAGGTTTACAGACTGGTTAAGGAAGGACAGACGACAAACTGGGTTTGGGGGTGCATGTTCTTCCCCAGGGAGGACGGTTGGGAGCCCTCCTGGGGTTGCCGTCCCAGAGCTCAGGCAAAGCCACCAGGCCGTGGGCAGCAGGAGGGTGGCAAGCCGGCCGCCCGAGAGGAACACGGTGACTAACTCATCCTGACAGGCGGGGCGGAGACGAGGACGACATCAGATGGCTGTTCCCGGGCCTCCTCCGAGCGCCAAGAACCGCGGGCAATAGGGGAGCAGCACAGGCCACGGCGACGCAGTGGCCAGTCCTCCCTCCCGTCAGACACTCAGAGGCCAGCTGCAGGTGACCTTCCTCTTGCAGTAGAGGGGCCGCTGGCCTGGGGAGGGGCAGGGCGCTGTGGGGCACCTGCTTCTGTCCCCTGTCCCTGTCTGAGTAGTCTCCCGTGGGAAGCTGCCCAGACTCTGACGTTTTAGGCTTTGCTGTTGTTTCTTTAAAAAAAAAAAAATTTAAAAATGTTTTCCTTCTATGTCTGAAAAAGTAGCAGCAACCTGCATTTAGAAAAACAGCCGAAAGTGTTACGGATTGGCCAGGAAGCGCTTTCAAGCCATGGAAGAAACTAGGCAAACGGTTTGTCTAGAGCCACCGTGACACGACACGTAATTAAAAATATATTTATATATGTATACATATTTATATCTCACTTCTTCACACTGCTCTTCCCGGGCAAGAAGGGGCTGGCTCTGAGGCGAGGCCCCGACAGGCCGTTCAGAGGGACGCGCATTCGACCCATGGTGCCTGCGATGCTGCCTGTCTCTGCCTCCGCAGGGGACACCAGCCCCGCCACAGTGTCTGGGAGCCTCCTTCATGAAGAGCCCCTCCGGGAGCCCAGCGAGGGGTGGACCTGCTTCCACTGGACCTAGGCCCCCACTCCCGGCCTCTCGGGGACCCTGCTTCATTCTCAGCAGATACACACACACACACACACACACCCCACACACACCTGAGGGAAGCCATCTCAGCACACGTGGGCTCTCCGCCGCTGCAGGAGAGTAGCTTGCCTGGATGAGGCTGCCAGACTTCACGCTCCGGAGAGCATGATTTCCCTGGTGTCCTCTCTGAGCATCCCCAAATCATTTATACGTTTCTGTGTTTCTTTTTTTGTGTGTGTGGTGCTGGGGACTGAACCCAGAGCCTGTGCAGGCGAAGCAAGCAGTCTACCAGCTGAGCTATATCCCAAATCAGCCTGGCTCTTCCCTCAAGCCTCCGGTGGGGCTTCTGAGGTCCCTGCGCCTAAGGGCTGGGGAAGGACACCGGGCAGTAACAGCAGCCTGGGAAGGAGGGGCGGGAGGAAGGGGGCGGGGCCGGGGCCAGGGGAGCACGAGCCTCTTGGCAGAGAAAACCTGTGTCCCCCATAATTTGCTCCCAACAGGCTCTTTCTGGGGACTGGCGCAGGCTCCTGTCTTGGAGCTGGAAGCCCGACTGCAGAGGGTAAATCAGGGAGAACTGGGGAACTTCTTGGACCCACCCACTCGGCCTCCCTAGCCTCAGGAACAATCAGGAGAAACCTCCCCCACCCTTCCCTTCCCACTCGATCTGATTTGAACCTGGAGGCCAGAAAGAGCCTCCAGTCTGACCTAGGGCTTGGCCAGCCTCCACCCAGGAGCAGGTCGGATGCTGCTGGGCTCTGCTGGCATCTCCTGGGGCCTTATCAAAATATGGGCTCCATACCCCAGAGACGACCTCGTCCTCCTCTCTAGCCATCAAAGATGGAAGCCGTTCCTCTGGATGGAGGGACTTCCAAGAAACCCCAGCCTTGTTTCCAGGACAGTCACCGGACTGTCCCTGTCCTGACTGGATGAATTCCCCCCTTCCCAAGACCCTGGAGGGCTGGGCTTCTGGGTCTTGCTGGGGCGGAGGCTGGGGTAGCCGTCTAGCCCACGAGCCACCCTTCCAAGTCCTGGAGAGCAAGGCGGCCCCCTGCTCCCTGTTCCCCCCAGGATGAGCCTGGGACAAGCTGTGTGTTTTGGTTTTAGTTTGCCAGTCCTGTTCCCCGGCCACGTTCACCGCAAGGCAGCCCGCCCCCCGCCCCTGCCCCAGGCCAGGACTGGGTCTAACTCAGTCCAGGGGCGACAGCATCAGCCCTTTGAGAGAGACAGCACAGGGGCTGCAGGCCAGGGGCTGAGGAACAGAGGATTCCAGCGGGGACCCCCGCCGGGGCAGAAGTTTCCAATTACCCTAATTGGCTACTGGCAAGCTGTTTGTGGCTAGAATCCTTCCAGAGGGGGCCGGGTTTGATCTGCAGCTAATCAGGGGGTCCTCGCGGGCTGACTGTGTGATCACATCGAGGGCTTTTTCATTGAGAGGAGAGACTTCAAAGCAACTGACTTTTGAAAAATAAAACACAATAAAATAAAAGGGTGCAAGCTGAGCCGCGGGCTCCAGCTCCCTCCTGCTGCCGGCCGACCCCCTCGACCCCCTCGGCCTGGGGCTGGGGCTGGGGGAACCCGAGTCAGGAGGGTGGAGCGTGAAGGTTAGAGAAAAGTGCCGCCCCCAGCTCGGCCAGGCTGACAAAGGCCCGCAGTGACGGGCGGCTGGTGGGGACGGTGCCTGCCTTTGTCCTCCCGGACATCTGCTACACGTCCCTGCTGCCAGTTGGCGACTGCGGCTGACAGCACGCAGGAACAATGGGAGCCTGACTCGACCCACTTCTTCAGCCTTCTGAGGTCCTTTCTGACCCACGCAGTGTCCTGGTGTGCAAGGCTGCTGGAGGCTCTTGAGCAGCGGCAGGGACAGACCCCGCCAAAAAGCTGGGCGGGGGGATGGGTGGAGTGGCAGGGGGTGGGAGGGGCAGGAGAGAGGATGGGCGAGGGCCAGGGCCACCAGGAAAAAGACACATGCTTCCCTTATTGGTGTGAGCTACGGGCATGCTCGGGTTGGGGCGGGGGACCTGGGAGGGAGGGGATGCTCCTCTCAGGGATCTGATCCCTTCCCCTGCTGGCTCCAGACTGGCCACCGACTCTGCCTGCCTTCCTGCCCATTTCTTTCTCCCGCCAGGGCCACCCCTGTCCTCCCGCCTGTCCATCTGGCCCTGTGCGCCAGGGCCCCAGCTGCCCGTGGGCTGCCCGCCAGGCCCCCCGGCTGTCAGGCTGTCAGTTTCTGGATGGTTCTGTTGTAGTACTGTGTAATGGGGGGAGTCAGAGGGTTCCAGCTGTTGGCATGGAGCTCGATGACCTCTAGGAGCAGTGACCGCGTCAGCATGGACTCCGAGGGGCACAGCATCTTGTCTCGGGCGCTGGCCAGGAGCTCCGTCATCATCTCGGGCAGCTGTTCCTCCAGCAGCCGGCCTGTACTCTGCAGCTGTGGGCAGAGGAGTGTCAGTTAGGGCAGGGTTTGGGACCCCATGTGCCCCCCGGCCTCGGTTAGGTGGGCTGGGGGTAGGGACAAGAAATAGCTGGAGAGTCTTAGGGACGTGCAGGCCCAGGTGGAACTGGGAGCTCTCCAAACAGGAGCGCTCACATTGAATACCGCCTGCAGCGGGCACGAGAGGAACCAGAGAATCGCCTGCTGCCAGGCCTGAGAGCAGTTTCCAGAGCACCTCTTTCCCGCCTAGAACCTCCCCTCCTACAGGAAGCCTTCCCTGACTGGAGCCACAGCTTCGAGTGGCCCCATGAACTGATCCCTTGAGTGATCAGGTGGCAGTGTGTTCACATCCACTTGGTGTCTCTTTGGAAAAGAGCTCAGTCATTCTTAGCTGCATGTGTCCACGTGGAACCCGAGAGCGAGTAGCCTCCCATTGCTCTCTTTCCCCTTCTCTCCTGCCGCCTCCCACTGCCCAGCTCCAGAACCGCTCTCTGCCTACACTTATGGCAAAGGGGAGAGAAATACGAACCGGGGTGGACGGCCAGCTGGAGGATCCCGGGAGCCCTACAATCCTGAAAAGCAGCCGCCTATGATCTCTGTCCCCATCGCTGCCCCAACCCGGCTTTGAGCCTCCATGGTCAAGGCTCTGCCTCCGTCACAGAGCCACCCTTGACCTCCGCACCCCGCCACTGACTCCCTGGGTTGTCCAGGGTGTGTGCTCGGTGCTCACACCTCGTCCACCCACCGCGTGTGTCTGTCCCCAACCAGCCCGGGAGCCGTCTGAGGTAAGGACCCGCCTTCTTTCCCCAGTCTCTCCAGGCACCATCTGGGACTCAACAAATGAACTGCCCCCTGGACGGTCTAGGCTCCTGGCACCTCTGTCTCCTGAGCTCCTTGGGTGCGGCATTTCAGCCTGGGCAGAGCCTCCTGAGAGGTGTGCTCATTAGTGCTGCCAGGCTGGGTCCTCGCCCTGCAAGCCCCCTCCTCCCCGTGCTCCACTCTGAGTGACTCTGGGCTATTTGCAGAAGGCCAAGATCCACCCCAGGGATGGGATCAGAGCCAGGCTCCAAAGGAAGAACCCAGAGGGAGTGTTTCAGTGAGCAGTGGCCACACATGGAGTGGCGACTCCCAAGGTGGCGGAGCCAATATGGGGGATTTAAGCATGAGGCACCTCCCCCGGCCCCGAGCCACCAATGCAAAGGGAGTTGTGTGGAGTTCCTTAAGTAAGTCATCAGGGTGGCACGCCTGAATCAAGGAAGGTGGTCATGGGAGCAGGGTGTCTGCCTCCCTAGAGAACCAGGCTCCTGCCTGCAGCGGGCTGCTCTCACCATCAGCACTCACGTGGCTCAGGGTGACAATCCTGAGTGCAGAAATTCCATGCTCACTCAGGTCACCCCCATCAGCCCTGCTCAGCAAGGCATTTCCCCTGGACTAGTGGATGCACCAGTGACCCTGTGCCCCACCCCAGCTGTGGTGTGCGGTGGGGCCGCACTGCTTACCTCCATAGAGCAGCAGAGGACCGCGTCTTCCTTCACGTCCTGAGACTGCAGGAGCTGAGAGGAGACAGCAGAGGGGAGACCACTCAGGGGGCACATGGGCTGCCCTGCCCTGCTCATTCCAGACCCGGTCCTGATGTCACTGGTGACAGTATCTCCAAGGCTGGGCTGGAGTGAGTGCTCATGAAAGTCAGAAGGCAGAAAGACAAGGGGACCGGGAGCACTGACTTCTTTGCTGGGCTTCAAGCCGGTGGAGGAAGCGGTCACCATGTAGTAGGGAGCCCAGGGCAGGTCAGGATGCCGTGAGGAGCGGCCCTCACAGAGAGGACAGCCAGTGTGCTGGGATCATCCAGTTAACAGCTGGGCAGTGGAAATTCTCAGGGAAATAAAATTAGCTTAGGGATGTTCAATCAGCGACTCCCCTGTGTGTGAGGAAGCTTAGCTGCTGGGTCAGAAGCTCTGGGCCCTGGCCATGGAGGACGCCCAGCAATCAAACCTCTCCTCCACTGGCCCGACGCAGCCCATGTCCACAATCAAGGCTGCAGGCACTTACCAGAGAAACCCAGGTCACAGCCAGGCTGCTCAGTGCCCAGCCTGGCCACGCCCCTGGCCAGGGTTCCCTCTACCTGTTTGGCTCTTTCTCTCAATCCTTCTCATTTGAAATTTAGGTATAATTCATATAACACAAAATTCACCATTTTGTGGAGGGGTACTGGGGATCGAACTCAGGGGCACTCGACCACTGAGTCACATCCCTAGCCCCATTTCATATTTTATTTAGAGACAGGGTCTTGCTGAGTTGCTTAGGGCCTTGCTAAATTGCCGGGGCTGGCTTTGAAGTTGTGATCCTCCTGCCTCAGCCTCCAAAGCAGCTGGGATTATAGGCGTGTGCCACCACACCCGGCTAAAAATCATCACTTAAAAGCAATAATTATGTGGGTTTTAGGATGTCAAGAGTTATGCAACTCCCACCACTATTTAATTCCAGAATATTTTAATCATTCCAAAAAGAAATCTGTACCCATTAGTAGTCAGTCATTCCCCATTCCCACCCCATTCCAACCCTTGATAACTCCTAATCTACTTTCTGTCTCTCTGGATTTGCCTATGCTGGATATTTCCCATAAATGAAATCATACAATGTGTGGTCTTTTGTGATTGGCTTCTTCCACTTACAGTAATATTTCCAGAGTGCCTCCATTTGTAGCATGTCCACATCTCCAGCTCTGGACTTCACACTCTGGTCCCCAGGAATTCTCAGCCACGCCACAACCGCAGACTTCACTCCCCCTCCCTTTTCAGGGCTCAGCGGGGTCTTCCCCCAGCATCAGAGCATCCTCCCCACTTCCTCCCGGGACACTTGTCTGGCTCCCTCCACAAGAAGGGAAGCTCCACCAGGGCAGGGCCTTTGTTGGCCACTGCTGTCCCAGAACCTGGCACCGTGCCTGGTGCACAGTAAGCACGTGGTAAATAGCTGCTAGCAAACACATTGGGAGGCAGGGAGATGACCCACCCAGCTGCCAGAGCTGTAAGAGGGATGGAAAGAGCCCTGTAAGCAGAGGGTCTGCAAGGCACCGTCCTGGGAATGGTGAACCTCAGGGGGACATGGGTACTGTCACCCCATACACCTCCCTCACCCAAACACACCGTGGATGTGGAGATACGAGCTGGTAGAGCTTCATAGCTGGCAATTTGGTGACAATTATTAATGTCCCACGTGTTCACTTCTTCTGACCCAGTGATAGTACTTCTAGGAATTTCTTTTGCACATGTTCCCCACACATGCCATATGATCCACCCCCCCACACACACACACTATTCGCTGCACTATTGTTAGAGCAAAAGGCAGAAGGTAACTTGGACGTCCATGACACATCTGCACAGAGGACTATGCCACAGCACTCAGCTGTCCCTGCCCTCCCCACTGCTGTCTGCTTCTGGAATTTCTTGTCTCCAGACCCAGAGCTGCAGATCCTTCAGGGTGGCTCCAACTGGCCAGTGCCTGGGGGGAGCTCAGGGGCCACCCGGGAAGGGTCTCCCTTATCTGGAGGACTCAGGAGGTCAGAGTGAAGCCCAGGACGCGGGTTCTGGGAGTCAGGGGTGGGGCTCACATTTCAGCTGTGCTCCCTGAGTCACCTGGGCCAGCATCCACCTAGTCCTCTCCACCAGGGGCAGGTCCCAAGGCCTCGTGGGAAGGGGGTCCTGCGACTATCAGGGATGGGGCTGGAGGGAAAGGTGGGCCTGGCCCCACGTCCTCCCCAGGGAAGGCGTGGCCCAGTGTGAACTCTGGGGGTCCCTGGAACTGCCTGCTGTGGTCGACTTCCCTTACACGTTTCCTCTGGTGCCTAGAAGGAGAAAAGTCCCTAAAATGGTAAAAATCACAAAAAAAGGGGGGAAGGTGAGGTATCTGGGAGAGGGAACTCTTGACCCAGAGTGGGTGGTGGCGGCTGGGGGAGAGGGGGAGAACCTGGGGCTGGTGGGAAGGTAGGAAGGTGGGCTCAGGATGTGCCTGGGGACTGGGGGACAGATGGAGGCTTCTCGTGGTGAGTGGAGGTGCACCTGGGCTGTCCTGAGAGGAGCCTCTTAGGGGTCTCCTACCTCCCCTGGGGCCTGCCAGATGCTGAGGTGTAGGAACAAGTGAAGGAGCATGATGGGAAATTCCTCAAAGAGCCAGAGCTGGACAAGCAGTCAACAGAGTCAAATGTGGTTGTCTCTCCTGGAAATGGGCCCTTCAGGCTTCTGTCCGTGCTGCACGGAGAGCCTCAAGCAGCCTCAAGGTTCTGTCAGCCGAGAGTTCTGCCCAGATGAGCCAGTGTCTGGCTCCTCGCTTCTGCTACTGCCCAGGGCCTGTGGCCTTCTGCTCCTCCTGACTTGACTGAAGAGGCTCCTCTGCGTTCCATATTCCTCTTCTTCTTTCTCTTCTCTTCCCCTCTTCTTTGTGACTGCATCATGTCCCCTCTACAATGCCAAAGTCCCCTCAGGCATGCTTCTGGGGCTGCTGCCCTGCTCCCTCCCTGGCAGGGCTCTGGGTCTCTGACTGCCAGGGCAGGGGACAGCCTGCCTACGACTCTCAAGTGGCGCTGTGGGCAGGTCCTGGGCTCCACCCTTATCTCTTCCTTGGTTGTTTGGGAAAGTCCGAATGAAGCCAAGAATCACACGGTGTGCTCGGCCCTGCTGGGCTTTCTCAAGGAAGTCAGGAGTGCTGGGGGTTTTCTATTTTCCTTTGACTCCACAGATGCTGGAGTGCAGAGATTTCGTGAAGGGAGCCTGTGGCTGCAGACCAGGTCTTGCCTTCCCCTCCAAAGCAGATGTGGCCACTCAGTGCCACCTCTCGAGAGTGGACTCTCAGACTCCAGGGCTGATAGGAGTGTGACTTCTCCAGCCTCCTCCTCTGACCCCAAGGGAACTTTGCTGACCTGGGTGCACACCAGGAAGTCCCACTGGCCGCTATTTGGTAAAACAAGAGGCCAACCTGCCTCACCCAGGGAGCCTGACACAGAGCCACAGGGCTCCCTCCCCAGGACCCCTTTCAGTGCCCCTCAGGTTCAACAGCTTCTGGCACATCAGTGGCTTCCCAGGACTTGCCCTTTGTGGGCGTCATCCCAAGGGCAGGACCTTTCCTCTCATCCATTCTGGTCCAAACTTCCTGTTCTGGGTCCCATTTCTTTTCCTAAGTGAACCCCTGTTGGTGTGTTGAGGGGACCAATAGCTCTCTCATTTATGAATGCTCTCCTTGAGATCTTCAGGAGGCGACTGCTTTAACTCAAACACTGGTCTCAAAAAGTGGCCTCTTGTGGCTGGGGTGTGGCCAGGGGTAGAGCACTTGCCTAGTGTGCACAAGGGCCTGGGTTCCATCCCCAGCACTGGAGAAAAAGAAGAAAGTGGCTTCTTGAACAGACATCGTACTGGCATCTTAATGCTCATAGATGCATTATTGATCATAGCCCCAAAGTGGAGCTCCGGAGCGTGGGCGGATGGATGAATGAAGAAACAAGCCGTCTGTCCACACGGTAGAGTGTTATTCAGCCTTAAAAGGGAAGGACACCTGACATGCCACCACTTGCATGAAACTTCATGACAGCACACTAAATGAAAGAAGCCAGGCACAGAGGGACAACAAATGGCTGAATGCCTCCACTTACATGAGGTTCAGAAGAGTCAAGTTCATAGAACTAGAAAGTCGCTGGTGGCTGCCAGGAAGTTGGGGAGGGGACGGGGGCGTTGGTGTTTGGGGAAGATGAGAGAATTCTGGAGATGGACGGTAGAAATGGTTGCATGACCATGTCCATGGACTTAACGCCATAGAAATACGTATTTGAAAGTGGTTAAAATGGTGCAATTTTGTGCTTTACCACCATCAAGAAAATGGTTATTAAAAAAAAGGTAGTCGGTGTGGTAAGACCCACTTGTAATCCCAGCGACTTGGAGAGGTTAAGGCAGGAGGATTGCCAATTCAAAGCAACTCAGTGACCAGACTCTGTCTCCAAATACAAAATTAAAAAGACCTTACGTCTGGTGTAGCTCAGACATAAAGCATCCCTGGGTTCAATCCCCAGTACCACCACCCTTCAGAAGAGGGGCTGCACTGATGGAGGACCAGGGCTGCCCACTCTGGGAGCCCCAAGGCATGGGGTGGAGGAGGAAGCCCCCTCATCCGAGTATCTGGCACAGAGAGGGATGGGGGCGGGCTGGGGCAGGCAAGCCTCCCGCGCCCTCGCGCAGTGAAGTGTGTTTCTTGGATGAGAATCCAAGGCAATTGTGCGAGCCCACACAGTGTTTGTTCGGAAGCGAATGCATTCCTGTCCTATTGTCTCTGCCGGAGACTTGTTGTGGGCACACCCATCATATCCTCCCTCGGGGAGAAGCCAAGGTGATCTCGTTGGGCTGTGGGAGGCCCCACATCAACTAGGGAGAAAGAGCATCCAGAGTCCTCAGGGAAGGGCCACGGGGCACGGGCACACTGCCCAAGGCGTGCCCAGGATGGAACCAGGCTGGCTGTTTGGGAGGCCACCTGACAAGAAGGGAAAGAGGGTGCTGATGGAAGGACCCATGGGCTC